GCAACCCTTACGGAAATTTGTTGACATAGAGTTTGGTCCTGATCCCAGACAAAAAAACCCTATTTTTACTTTAAATCTTTTGTAAGCATAAGAACTAGCTATGTAACATACGTATCTTATGTTATTTCATAGGAAATGCATTCCAAAATGACTAAGTGATGTAAGTCAGTATCGGTACATTGTATTCCAGGACAATATACCATTTGTTCTTCTAGAATAAATGTTAGGCAGAAGCAAAGAACATAGAAATATGATGGATTTTACTATATTCAAAAGACCAGTGGAAACAGGAGGTGAGGCATATGCGGGAGGTAGAATGTGGGAGGAAGAAATTTAGCACACACAGCACTCTTTGATTTCCCTGGGTTTGCAGCTAGAGTGAAATTAAGAATGATATGGGATTCCTAGTGTCTCTTAGTGAGGTATATTCCAGGTATTAGCTGGAATAATATGCATATAAACTTCCTCAAGGTTTATTTGGTAGGATGTTCACTCCCTCCCTGTGATTTCTCACATCTTTCAGATTCAGCATTAGGAAACATTTTGGTGATTTGTTCTTCTCAGGAGATTCTATAGTCATAAGCTAAGGAGTTATGCCTATCCACATGGACATTTTGTTAACCTGTGGCAGCTCCAAGACCTGGTTCTTCCAAACGGCCTTTAATTTCAATTGTTCTTAGAAATGGTAGGTACAATCTTTTAGTAAATCTCTCTCAGTTTAATAGCTAATAAGCAAACAGAACTTACACAAATATGAGACTTTAGACTAAAATTCCATAGAGAGCACAAAATTTACTACCAAAAAAAATACTCACCTGTTTCTATAATGATATCACTTAGTGTAATCTAACTGAAAGCAAATATAGTGATCTCACCAAATGTCTGCCTCTCAAACCAACGTAATTAGTACTAGTATTTCCTTTTTTGGAAATACTACATGATGTTCATGTGAAAGGAACCCAAACTGGATTTCATTGGCAATTATTATTCTAGTTTTCACAACCTCAGTGTTATGCAACCAAGAACAGAGAGTAAATGTGCCAACACAGTGCAAGCATATTTTCATGAGCTATCCTCTGGAGGCAAGTGAGACATTTGCTGGAGAGATCAGGTTCTCAAGTTCTGTAATAGTAGTTTTAAACCTTCTCATCATCCTCCATTTGTTTTCTTATGCATTTATGTTTTCTTCTGTGTCCTTCTAACCTTCTGTCTCTGTTCCTGTCCTGCTTTAAGGGTGGGTAGAGGAGGGTCAGGTCTCAGCCATGGCTTATTATGGCTGCTGAGCTGTTTCATCATTTCTCCTTTGCGTTGTCTAGAAACTAATCAGAACAGCCTTCCTGCTCTCCATTACAACGTCCAGCGCTAGAGTTGTTAAATAAGCATTTAATACAGAATCTGATGATGCTATCCATTGAAGTCTTACGCTCTCTGCCTACAACGTGCATGGATACAGTGCGGGCATGTGTTCAATAGCAAAATGAAATTGCGTACGATCTATGTAAGTCTAGGAGCAGGTACAAGCTTACAAAAGTACGTGAAAGTAAAATGCTGGAGCATGTGGCAGTCAGAGAGAATTCACTTTTTTTTTGTGGTAGAAATTTCTGAATTAGTTGAACGGGCATTGAATAATAATACAGTAAGTTTATGATTGCTCTCTCTTATGCTCCACAATACAGACAACTACAGAAGTCTAGAGGAAAGAAGTAATACAAAACAAAAATATTTGTGCTAAGAATACTAGGGCACTTAAAACTAAAAGCCCCACAGTGTGACATCAACAAATCAGTAGAGTCACTCAGCTTAGCATGGCAGTTTCTTATAAATTGATATTTAGAGAGGGAATGCATAACTTCAAACATAAAAACAAAATAGCCAAAGGATATCTTAAAAAAACCCCCCAAACATGTAAATTCAACTCTATCAATAAAAAACAACAGAATGTATGTTCTGTCAAGGGCAATGCAAGACTGAGTTTATGGAAGCTACCAAGTGCAAAGGAATTTTTAAAGATTAATTAAAAGGAAAAAAAAAAGAGTAAGAGTCAGAGAGCCAAAGAACTAAAACAGAAAATTAGATTGGTAGTAATAACAAGAAATAAAATAGTAGTTAGAAGGTAAACTGTAGAAAACTTTACTGCTAGCCCTCTAGCAGTAAAGATTATTTAGCTTCTGTATAGCAATACAGATGATGGAATTGTTCATTAGCTTCAACAACTGTGGAACCAGCCTCTAATTTTCACTGTCCAAAGGCCTGGGCAATCCATGGGACAAAAGTTAGGGAAGTAATACTGAAAAAAAATTTTGTTAAACAAATGAATCAAAAAGTTATGGCTGAGATCAAGACAATGAACAAGTTTTTTTTTTATGCCCACATCACATTTCCATACTCCTATGTACTTGGACATCTAATAAGACTAACAGGGTATCTGATCACCTCTACACTATTTATTTATTTATTTACAGTGGGCCAACTACATTCAAATGGACTGTATTTTTTATCTGAGTGGCCAATTAATTACATTTCTGTTATGGAAGATCTTTCTCTATCCTTTCCTATGAGGGTATAATTCTTTTCACTCATTGTTACCACTTAGGAACTAATACTGCATTACGCTTCACCATAGTTGTCTTAAATTAAAATCTTAGTTGTCAGTTTTACAACAGCAAGTGACTGGAATGGATTATAATATCCTCCTATATCAACCACTTTCATACATCAGTATATACATGAATCCTGGCACATGCTGGTGACTTCCCTGCCTCTGCTTTTTTTTTTTAAGCGCGTTATTTGTTTCCAATGAGTTCTTAAATCAGAAATTAAATTATTTTACCTTGGAGACTTATTATCTCTATTTCCATGCCAAAGTTGTTTTGATTTATGGAATGGTTTTGCTGCTGACAATAAATGCTGACGTTTTTCAGCTTTAGGTGATGTGAACTGGTTAAAAAGATTGAGTTTTAATTTAATCAACCACAACATAGAATCAGCAATGAGCGTAATGTGTTTCTTCACAGTCTGAGGAAACACGTACCAAGAAGTTTGTATTTTTCTGAGTACAAACTGAGGATTCAAGCTGTGTCATGCTAGGAACAATGTAGAGAGATGGCTTAATTGGACAGAAATATATTTGTGAGATTTGCATTCTTCCCCTTCAATCATAACAATTTTTTTAATTTCTGCCCTGAATAGAGAGTGAGCTCAATGTCCAGTTTTGTTCTGGACATATATTTGAAGCTTGCCTTAAATCATGTTCAACAAAAACAAGGTTACCAGGAAAAATTTTAAATCCACTGAGACCATGAATATTTTCCCCCAGGCACACCCCCAAACACAATACTTTCAGTAGGCCTGAGTGATTGTGAAAGACATGTGGACCAGATAGATGGACACAGACACACACACACATACAAAGAGAAATAGCATCCTGCTATTCAGTCGAGAGGAAGAAATGAGATCTTTACCTTTGAGTGTGTAGGGGAATTAGAAATAGGTTGAGAGGATCAACATGCTAATGCGCTGATAGACAAGAGGCACCAAACACAACGTAGGTCAGAGGCTTGAAATGCAGTTTCTGGGAGGTTACAAAGAGCAGAGCATCCTGCTCTGTGTACTTCTGGTTCGTCCAAGAATTTGGGAGTGCTGCCCAAGCAAGTGGACAAGTCCACAAGCCTGTCAGTAAAAGGAGTGTCTGTACTTCATGTGGCTACACTTGCACACAGACACAATGTTTGAGTTCCCCTTCCACAAGTGATGAACGTGTTGGATAATTAAAATTAGTGAAGATGACTTGAGATTCCCAGGGATGAAGAATTAGAGGGATATCAAGCAAGAAATTGAAATGAAAGACTGTAAGGAAGAAGAGTCAGATGTAGATTTGGGGTTTATAATTTTAATTATTTTTATTTTTTTTTCTTTTTGGCAAAAAGAAGAGGGCTTCCTGGACAGTATGAAGAGTGAATAAAGGAAAAGGAAGAAAAAACAAAGGAAAAGTCATTATAGAAAAAAAAATACAAAATTAACCAAAAAAAAAACCTAGAAAATCTGTAATCATGACTGAGGCAAGCAGACATAGTACTGGAAGATGTCAAATAAATTAAAATTAAGTGAAATGTATTGGGACAACGTACAACAAAGACAGATCCTGGAAAGCATGCACAGTGTCAAACTGGCTCATGTAGACATAGAACTGCATGCAGGCAACACTGTCTAATCCCATATGGAAAGGACTGGAGAGTCCCACAGTATTATACTTGAAAATTTATGTCAAAAATTTATGGCTAGGTCATGTGGTCTCACTATAGGCACAGCAAAGACAGGACATTGATCATTTGTAATGCAAACAAGGCACATCAGGATGAAGAAGGCAAAAAATATGTCAGTTATATTTGTCAGTTCTGCTAGGATTATCCTAGTAATTATTACAATTTATCGTAGTTGAGTTGGAGTTCCTTTTGTGAAGAACAGGTATTTCTTAAGGATTTCACATACATTGATTAGCATCTTCACAAAAGACTACAATAAACCCATCTGAGATATTTAGCAGTGAAAAACTCTTCATGCAAAAAGACTTTAATTTCTCATAAATAGTTAATCTTAGTTTGACTGCAGAAGGCATTCTTGTCTGCCGTGGTAGCCCTCTTCTGAGAGAGGCTGTCACTGAGTCACATAGAAACAAATGAAATTAAATAGAAGTTAAAACTAAAGCCAGAATCAAAACTAAAATATGAAACCAAACTTTGTATTACATCTGGAAGTGAAATGAAAGCTGAACGTTGCAGAAGTTTGCTTTCTGAGAAACTCTTGCATCACAGTGCCTGTAATGCTCTTGGCTGAAAGCTCTGGGACAGAGTCCTCAGTTAGAACCTCACCTAACAGAAGGTGAGACAACATTATTAGAATCATAGTACTGCATAGGCTGGAAGGGACCTTAGAGATCATGTAGTCCAACCTCCCTGTTTTGGGCAGGGACGCCACCTCTCGACTAGACCTGGCAACACATGGGGACCGAGCGGGAATCGAACCCGCGACCTCGGTGTTGGTCCTTGTTGCCAGCACCGCACTCAAACCACTGAGCTAACCGGCCCCCTCCTCTGGTGAGTTTTTACTAGGGTAGTTCTGCTTATTTTCATTGTCTGTGAATTTAGCTACGTACATGCCCTGAACAAGAGGCAAGATGACTACTGGTATTGTACCTAGTCAGTTACAGTGTGAAGCTGAATAATAGGTACAAACACTACTATTTTATCACCATCAGAAACTGTCCTGAAAACAGAAGACCCAGAAGATTTTTCTTAGCCTAGAGAGAGAAAAAGGAAGGGAAGGAAGGAAGGGTGGGAAGGAAGGGAGGGAAGGAAGGGAGAGAGGAAGGAACTCAGGAAGGGAAGGAAGGCAGGGAGGAAGGGGAGGAGGGAAGGCAGGAAGGAAGGCAGGAGGGAGGAAGGAAGGGGGGAGGGAGGAAGGGAGCAAGGAAGTGAGGGAAGGGAAGGGAAGGGAAGGGAAGGGAAGGGAAGGGGAGGGAAGGGAAAGGAAAGGAAAAGGGAAGGAAAGAAGGGA